CCCAGTAGGAGCTGTTGGGGTGTCCCCCATAAGCTGGGGGGCAGCGAGGACACTGCCCTTCCCTGGCACCCTGGGGCACCCACCCCACGGCCACCCCCTCACCGTGCCGAGCCCTGCAGCCATGGAGCCAGTACTGGTGGTAGCTTTGTGCGGCTTTGAGTGGCCACGACGTGACATCCCCATGGGATGGGACACCCACGGGGACCAGATGGGCTCAGTCCCAGGGCCGGACACCCACTGGAGGTGTGAATGGCAGCGGGGTTTTGCAGGGCGCTGCCCCACGGCACGGGTGGGAGCAGGCGCGGGCTGAGCCGGGTCCTCGGGCCAGCAGCATCGAGCGCATGATCTGTTGTGGCAGCTTCCCCGCAGCCTGGAGCCAGCCCCGAGCTAGCACTGATGATGGCTTTAATTGCTTTCAGATTCGATAGCCCAGCCCGTGACAGCCTGGGCAATGCGGTGGCTGCAGCCCAGCCGTGCCAGCCGGCCCCGTCCCAGGGCATCCCCATGCCTAGATGGGCAGAAGGCACTGGGAGCTGCTTGGAGTGGCCAGGGCTCTCCTCCCAGCGTGGCCCTAACAATGCTGTGCTGCTTCCCTGGGCGCTATTTGTGGTCCCGAATGCAGCTGGGGCAGCGCTGCTCCAGGATGGCACTGCAGTGAAGCCACCCACCACGTGCCACCATAAGGACCCCATGCAGCCCCATCCATCCTCAGGGTGCAGCTCTGCTCTCCCCGGGGAGATGCTGGGTCACCTCATGAAGCCATCAGCAATGGGGCAGAGCAGGTCTGGGAATATGGGGGTCACAGACGAGTGCCGCATGGCCATGTTACAGGGCTGGGGGCTGCCCCAGAACTTGGGGGTGCCCAGGGCTGGCACAGCCACATCCCAGGGGAGCCCAAACCTGAGTCTGGCTGTCCCCAACATCAGGCCCTTGTGCTACATTGTGCTGCAATGAGGGAGCCGGGAGTGCTCAGCACTCACAGGTCCTCATCATCCTCATCTGCTTTGTCCTCTTCCCCCTTGCTGCCACTCTCTGAGCTGCCTCCCATGTCCCACCGAGGCCACATCAGTGCAGGCAGCTGCCGGCAATACCCTGATGGTTCCCACCTGCCGGGCAGCGCCTGTGCTTGGGGCAGCAGACAGGGAGCCTAAGCAGCAAAATGGCACCCGGGGTCCATGCAGTGCCGGCACCCACAGCACCACGTGTCCCTGTCATCCCCCACCAGCCCCACCGTGGCTCACACCAAAGCCATGGCCCAGCTCCAACGCCGCAGCACTGTTTGCATTTAATTTAGGCGGAGTTTGCTGCCCATCTGAGGACTTCAGGGGAAGCAAAGGTGCGGCGTTCATTCCGTTACCCAATTAGCCGCTCTCAGACTTGGTTCCCAGCTGCCCCGCTCCGTGAGCTCCGCATCCCTCAGCTCAGACTGTCGGTGTTTGCCATTCCCATCCCAGCCGGGCTGTCGGGGTGCAGGCAGCACCCAGCCCGCCGTGTGGTTCACGGCCGGGGCGGTGCGGGGCGGTGCGGAGCGGCGGCTCTTGGCCGGAGATGCTCCCGGCAGCGATGAGGCCGCTGAGCACGGAGTCAGGGGTGTGGGGCTGAGCCAGGAGCATCTCTCGTCCCCGATCCATTATTGCGGGCAGTGCCGGCGGGCGGACCGGGGCAGGGGCTGCATTATTGACGAGGGGGAGGAGTGCCCCTGCGTGGGCAAAGCGGGCAGCGGCCCCCCCCCGCAGCATGGAGCCGCGGGCAAAGCACTTTGCTGCGCCGCAGAGCCGCAGAGCAGCGCCCAGCCCGGGGCGGGCAGAGCCGCAACGACCGCACAGCGCAACGGCAGAGACCGCACGGCACCGCATCGCCAGCGACGGGGACAGGGACGGCGACGGAGACGGAGACAGGACGAGGACGGGAGCCGCACGCCCCGGCCGTGCCCCTGCAGCAGCGCCAACACCGTGCAGCCCCCTCCGCCTCCGCGCAGCGCTGGTGATGTTGCTCTTTTTAAGCCTCTCTCTGTCTCTAGGCGGAGATTTGTGGCGTAAAATGCACAATATGTTCTATCTGCCCTGTGGGAGCCATAAAATATTCACCAGCAGCTCCCATTATAGTCAGAGTGAATCACGGAGAGCGCTCGAGCACGGCGTGCCCCCTCCCTGCCAGGACCCCACAAACTGCAGTGCGGCCAGCAGTGCTGGCACTGCTGGTAGGGCATAGCGGGCAGCCAGGGCCGTGCTCGTGCACGCGGGGAACGGCGAGAACCCTCACTTCACCTGCAAGACCCACCCCGGTCTTGGCAGGTGGAGGGAGGATGCGTTCATCCCCCCCTCTCCCCCGGGGCAGGGGCTGATGGCATTGGTGAGACGGGAAATACCAGAGCAGCTCCAGCCCCAGGGAACTGCGGACAGGGGCGACAAAGCTGCCATCGGGGTGGTGGGCAGTGCTGGCAGCTGGCAGCGTGGGGGGGCTTCGTGCCCTCTGCTGCTCTCCATCCCACGCTGGCAGCCCCATCCCACCCCAATGTTCCCATTCAATGCCTATTCATAACCACATCCCCTGGGTCGGGGTCTCACAAAGAGGTCAGAGCAGATCCCCATGGGAAGCCCCTTGCTGCCCCTTGTCACACACACTGTGTGCCGTATCTGTGGGTCTGACACCGCTCTTCACATCCCACTGGCTGTCTCCCTTGCTACCAGCTGCTCCACTGCCCCTTCCCCACCTCCCCCTTTATGACTGATTTAATCTCATAGATTTAATGTCATAGAATGGCCTGGGTTGCAAAGGAGCACAGTACTCATCCAGTTCCAACCTCCTGCTGTGTGCAGGTCACCAACCAGCAGCCCAGGCTGCCCAGAGCCACATCCAGCCTGGTTTTGAATGCCTGCAGGGATGGGGCATCCACAGCCTCCTTGGGCAGCCTGTTCCAGTGCCTCACCACCCTCTGGGTGAAAAACTTCTTCCTAAAAGGAAGGATTTAAGGGACCATAGGGATAGTTAATGAAGCGCCATGCTGCCATGAAACTGCTCATTCAAACACAACGATATCTTTTTGGCACACAATTCTATGCCATTGTAAAGCAGTCAGTTCTAACCCTCAACTGCTGCAGTCGTCACTTCCCACCCTGCCGCAGCCGCTGCTCCCCGTCCCACATCACTCAGTCACTGCAGGGCTGCGCTGATGGCCGGGGACACGGGCAGCATCGCTGCTGTCACTGCACGCGCGCATCTGCTGCGGGGAGATGTGCCGCATCCACGTCCCTATGCATCCCCATCCCCACCCACAGCGCAACACATCTGCGCGCAGCCGGTGCCGCGGGTACCCTACAGCTCCGCGGCAGGCGCTGTGCTGATGCCGCCCGTCCCCCCGGCAGGAGAAGTGCTGCTGGGCCGGCGGGTGCCACCGCCGAGGTCCTGGCACTGCCGGCACGGCAGGAGCACGAGGAGGGCAGGATTTGTCCCCAGCGCGTTGTCCCGCGTGGGCTCACCGTGAGCCGCCCGCCTGGGGTGGCTGCGTCGTTCACCGCCACCACCGCGGGGCTGCCAGCAGGACGCGGGGCTGCGGGGACGCAGGGGTTAAACCCTGCCTCTGCCATCGCGTTTCTATCCCTGAACAGACTGAGAGAGGAGAGAGCAAAAGAGAGAGGCAGTGCCCTCCCCGCCCTCCCCACCAAAATTAACTCCCCATCTGTTTCTCCCCGGCTGAGGCTGATGGCTTGTGACAGGGCCTCCTGAATGCAAAGATGTTTCGCCCGGAAAATCTATTACAAGTTGCTTTAAGAAAGACAGAAATCCTCTCCTTCTGTCTCTCCCTACTGGTCTCTCAAGGTGCCCACCCGGGGCGAGATGGGGTTGGCACGCAGCCGGCCGCCTCCGCTCAGCCGGAAAGCTCCGCGCCAGCCGGCCTCGGCCTCGGGCGGGGGGAGCTGAGCCGTGCCCCGGTGGGGGTCGCAAGGGAGGAGCCGTCCCCGTCCCCATCCTCAGCCCCCATTCGCCCCCCAACCTCCGTGCGGCGCTGCGGATGGAGCGCTGCCGTCGGGTCCGTAGGAGCGGCACCGCGGGCAGCGGCTGCCACCTCCCGGCCGCTGCGGCTCCGGCCGTGCCGCTGTCGTGCGGTGATGGAGCATCTCCACCTCAGTCCCTCGGCACGCCTCCGCCGGCCGGGCACCTAAAGTCAGTCACGGTACCGCAGTACATCGCTGGAGCTCCCCCAGTCCAACTGCCTCCCCCAAAAGCATCTCCCCGCAGCAGGTTGCACAAGAAAGCGACCCGACGGGTTTGAGCATCTCCGGACTGTCCCAGCTCTCTGGGCAGCTTGTTTCAGGGCTCTGGTGCAGACACATCCATATGGAGCTTCCTAAGTTTCATTCTGTGCCCATTGCCCATTGCCCTGTCACTGGGACCCCCAAAAAAGAGCCCGGCCCCATCTGCTTGGCTCTCACCTTTCAGGTATTGATCAGATCCCCCCTCAGCCTTCTCTTCCCCAGCTGAACAGCCCAAGGGCTCCCAGCCTGTCCCCATCAGGATGTGCTCCAGCTCCCCCCTCCATCTCTGCACCCCCTTCTGGGTTCTCTCTAGCAGTTCCCTGTCTGTCTGCAACTGGGGAGCCCAGCACAGGATGCAGTGCTACAGATACAGACTTCCCAGGAGACCACAGAGCACCTCCCTCATCTGCTGGCCTCTCTGCAATGCCCCCCAGGTTCCACCTCCCTGAGTGCTCAGTCAACCACTGGCCAACCAGACACCCAAGGCCAACCATCACCCAAGGCACAACGATGGCTCACGTCCGGCCTGTTGGCCACCAGCACCCCCAGGTCCTCCTGCAGGTAAGCCTGTGCTGATGTGTCCTAACCCTACATCTGAAAACGGTGTCCCAACAGCACTCTGGCAACTTGGGGCCACAACCACTGTCCTGGAGCCTGCCCCAGTGCCCAAGGTCCTGGTCCCCCAGCCAGGTGATGGCTGTCACCTCTCCGCAGTTTCCCCAGAGCACAGTGAAACCAGGCAGCTTCAGTAAAAAACAAAACTTTATTTGGTCCGTCAGAACCTGAGTTTGAAAACCACCCATGGATAATTCATATCATACAGGGATTACTGATCTGATTTACAATTGATAAAATATCCTATGTTTCTTAAGAGCTGGACAGTATTTACAGGGTTAAAAATATTCACAGCTCAGAAAGACGGAGAGAAAAAGTGAAGGACAAATCATCCCGAGGAGGAAGGTGCAGGGGAAGAGAGAACAGAGCGACAAACAGACACACAGACAGAGCTTGGCTCAGCAGCCCCAGCCCTCGGGGCCGGGAGGGACAGAGGGACAAACCCCGCACCCACACATCCCCACTGCTGCAGGCTGCCCCAGAGCAGCTCCCCCACAACACACACACACCCACAGCCACACACACACACCCAGCTGTGTGCAGCCAGCCGGCCGTAGGGTCACCCCAACATGGAACCCCAGTGGCCCCCCACAGCTCTTGGCCTTTGCCTTGTGCTGACTGCTGTCCCTCCGATGGACGGGGCTCACCATCGGCCTACGGAATCGCCGCCCCTCTCCCCAGCAAAGCCACGCTGCGGGAGCTGCTCCCCAGAGCCCAGCTCTGTCCCCAGTGCCCCGTGCCACTGCCCCGTGCACCCCGCAGGGCGCGGGGAGGGGACGCATGGCTTCTCTCCAGGCGCTGCTTCCAGCGGCCGCCTTTGCATAGTAACACTGCGATGGCTTGGGGGGGACGGAGCAGCACCCCACAGCCCTGCTCCCCACCCTGGAGCCGAGGTTTACGTCCTCGTTTTGCCCCGAAGTGTGGTGAAAACCAGCAGCAGCAGCTTTCTGCAACAGCCCTGCGCCTTCTCCATCCCGGCCCCAACGCGTGGGGACAACCCCGGCAGCCGCAGTACCTCAGTGCCCACTCAGTCCTGGCAGCAGACAACAGAGGAGACAAGACAGAGGGTCACACAGACGGACAGACGTCAGAGGTATATTCTTTTTGGAGCACCAGGGCCCCGGTGCTGCAGGACGGGGCAGAGCCCTGAGCGTGGTGCCTGGCAAGGACGCTGACTGCAACCTCCAGCCCCCACGTCTACTGCAGCCCCCTGCTACCACGCCGTGTGCCCAAAGCGGGTGGGATCCTGAGATGGCCCCGTGCCCCCCGACCGCTCCTCGTAAAGTGCGTGGGGGGGCAGCGGGCAGAGCTGGTCCCGGCCCTGAGAGTTTGTCCCAGCCCCGTGGCACAGGGCAAAGTGCTCGGTGCCACCTCCCGCCCTGCCCCACGGCTCAGTGCTGGCAGCACGGGGGGAAACCCTGGGCTGGAGGCTCGCTGAAAGCAACGGGAGAGAGGAGCGGGGCAGGAGCGGCGCTTCGTCATAGAGGTCGGGGTCCGTGGAGTCCGGCAACCTCGGGTGTGAGCAGCGGGTTGTGGGTGCCTTTTGTGGACATCCAGTCGTTGAGGAAGGCCTGGGTGGCTTTGCGGTGCGCCAGGCGGTGGGTGATGGAGAAGCCGGCGTTACCCTCCAGCTGGGAGAGGATCACCAGCACCTGCCTGCGGAGACAGCGGGGCTCAGCGCTCAGCCACGCGGTGAATCGCGGCTCCCCCCCAACCCCAGGCTCTGCCTTGGCCCAGCACCCGCGGGGTGCCATCACCTCCTCCCCCAAGCTGACCCTCAACCTGACTCCTCCCCCCCTTGCCTACCCCAGACCTGTGCAGGGGAGGGACGCTGTCCTGTGTTTTGAGGCTGCCACGCGTGGAGACGACATTGAAGCTGTCGGTGCAGTCACACTGGACGTGCAGGTAGGATTTGGGGTGCCGGTTCTCCACCACCACGATGAGCCCTGCCCAGCCGTGTGTCAAGTAGTAGCATGTCATCCCCTCACGGCCCTGCAGCAGCAAATGGCATGGTCAGGGGTGTGAACACAGGCAGCCCTGTGTCTATGTGCAGCATCACCCTCTGAGCACTGCCCGCCCATGAGGCACCCCATGCCGCACCACGGAGCAAAAAAGATGGGCGCCCGTGGGGCAGGGAGGGATTGGGGGCAGCCAGGGCTCGGTTGGCTCCTGCCAGACTGAGGGTGTGATGAAGGCAGAGTGCTGCTGGCATCGCCGTCCCGCCCCGTGCCACCGCTCTCACCTCATGGCGCTCGCCCTTGTTCTCAGTCAGCAGGATGATGGCATCTGCCAGCGTGGTGGGCTGCGCCTCCACCTGCTCCACCATCACCAGGCGGGAGCTGTAGATGGCCAGGATGTAGCTGGAGTAATCGGTGGCCGGCCGGCTGCTGGTGGGACTGGATGCTGCAGAGACGACAACGCAGAGAAAGGGAGATGGCTGAGACCGCCCCCAAGTTCAAGAGCAGGGCGCTGCACACGTGGGCAACCTCCATCCCCAGCGGATCTCCTACAGCAAGGAGGATCGAGGGCACCTGACTTTTGCCTACCGCAACGCCTCCCCCAGCAGCACCACGTGGAGGGCGTGCAGCCCCTTACCCTGGGCGGCAGCGGGGCCCGCCGGCGCAGCGCTCCAGTGGTTGAAGGCACAGCACACCACGGCGTATTCGCCCGGCTCCAGCATCACGTCGCAGTTGACGAACTTCTTGACGGCTCGTTTGCTGTGAGCCATCAAGCGGCCGAGGCTCAGCTTGTTGCCGCTAGTGAAGGTGGCTCGGAAAACCATGATGCACAGATCCAACAAGTGGCTGTCCACAGCATCCGACCGCCTGTGCCGGGGTGGGAGAAGGGTCGCACGTCACCAGAGCTTCCCCACAGAGTGCAGAGGCCATGGGTTCAGAGTCCTTCCACTGCACTGGGGGCTGCTCCGGGAAATGGTGTCCAGGCTTGGGTTCTGGCTGAAACACGAGCCATGGGGATCAGAGAAATGGCAATTTGAGGCCCCATCTGCAGCGCTGCGTCCAGGCCTGGGGCCCCCAGCGCAGGAAGGATGTGGAGCTCTTGGAGTGGGGCCAGAGGAGGGAACTAGGAAGATCAGAGGGCTGGAGCAGCTCTCCTATGAGGAAAGGTTGAGGGAACTGGGCTTGTTTAGCTTAGAAAAGAGAAGGCTCCAGGGAGACCTTGTTGTGGCCTTCCAGTACTTGAAGAGAGCATATAAACAGGAGGGGGAACGGCTGCTTACGAGGATGCATAGTGATAGGACAAGGGGGAATGGTTTTGAACTGAGACAGGGGAGGTTGAGGTTGGATATTAGGAGGAAGTTTTTCACTCAGACGGTGGGGAGGCACTGGCACAGGTTGCCCAAGGAGGCTGTGGATGCCCCATCCCTGCAGGCATTCAAGGCCAGGCTGGATGTGGCTCTGGGCAGCCTGGGCTGCTGGTTGGTGACCTGCACACAGCAGGGGTTGGAGCTGGGTGAGCACTGTGCTCCTTTGCAACCCAGGGCATTCTGTGATTCTGTGATTCAATGGATGCTCATTGCGGAGCACTACAAGCCCAAGGGACAGCACAGGGTGAAGAGGAGGTATGATAGGGACAGCCCTGAGCATTTCTCCCTGCTCTGGTCACTTCCTGCAGCCCTCATACTGCCCCGGCTCACCTGCTGCCCTCCTGGAAGAGGGCAAACTCCAGGGCAGCACGCTCCAACACTGTCAGCGATGTCACCGTCACTGGTCCATTGGCCTTGTTGGGGAACATGCCCTGCACACGCACCTCGTGCCAGTCTGAATGGAGTTTGCAGATATCCACGGAGTCAAAATACCTGTGGGGAAGTTGGGTTCAGTGCCTGTGGGGTTCTCAGGTCTTGTAGTGCTCTGTCCCATTCCTCGGCATGCTGCAGCTCACACAGCCCAAAGCTGCACACCCTGCAACACCACCTGCACCCAGAGAGCGATGCGTGGCTACGCCTGCTCCATTTTGCCTCGGTGTCTCATTTTCCCTTTCTCATCCTCCCTGCAAAGGAGGGGAAGTGCAACCCTGGGTCTCCACTGCTGCCCACTGCTCTGTGTTTTTGGGGCTTCGCCTCCTCTGAGCAAAGAAATTCCCAAATGAAGCAGTTTTGCCCCACGGTCCCCCCCGTCACACTGCCTGCTCCCACCCTCACTGCCTCTGTACCCAGGCTGCTACCGTACTTGATGAAGTCGCTGTACTCCATCCAGAAGACCCCCTCGCTGCTGCCATGGGGCATCAGGTCGTGGCGCAGGGGAGCAGGCCAGTGGGGCCACTCGTCAGACCAGCTGCCATTCCAAGAGAAGCGACCCCACGGGTTTCGGAGCCGCAGTAACCTGAAGGATAGGGACCAGTGGGGTCACACACTCAGGAGAAAGGAGACTCGTCCCCAGGGTTTTCTGCTGGCAGGACACGTGTTGCGTTACGCCAGCCTCTGCCCTGAACTCACCTGAAGCCTTGGACATCCCGCACGTCCAGGATGGAGTAGGCATGCCGTGGACGGAGCCCCATGCTCTCATAGGCCACATCGTCCACTTTCATGTTGCCCCCACCACAGGATGCACCCATAAGGAACCTGCAGGGGGAGAGCAGAATGCTTGATGTCATGCAAGGCGTGATGGAAGCTCATAGCCACTGCTTGAGGCACGGGACAGGCTCTCCCCAGCAGGCTCTCATACATCCCTCTGCAACCACAACCACTCCCTGAAGCAGGGCCCTGGTCCTACTGAGCACAGCTTTCCCTGAGCAGAAATGACCTTCCTCCATTCTCTGGGGTTTGTGCTGAGCCCAGGCTCCACGATGAGCTTCTCTGAGCAGCGCCCTCAGAGCAGAGCGCTTGGGTGACTTCCAAATCACACCAAACAGTGCAGAGCCATCCTTGCCCTGCCCAATCCCATCGCTTCCCACTTGCAGGCCTGGAAGCTCTGGCTGTGTCCAAACCTCACCCATTTTCTGCTAGAGCCATAGACTGGGCCAAGTGGAGAGGCAAACAGTGCAGCTGACTGCATGCTGCTCTACAACAGTGAGAACAACACATTTGGGACAGGGGGGGCTGAATGGGCCAGGCTGGGGGGCACCACATGCTGGGATGCATGAACCCATATGGCAAAATCCCAGCTGCGACCCCAACACTGCACATGGGCAAAGCAACCCCACAGGCTCGATACTGGCCACCTAAATTTCTGGGAGATAAAAACCACGAGGTTCACCAGGATTTTAATTTCATATGAAAATTAAACAAAGGAAAAACCACTTCACAGCTTGGAGGCTCAGTCTACAATTGAGGTGAACTCCAAGTGTGGAAGGCCCCACCCCAAGTAATGCAAGAACCCTCCCTCCTCTGAGCCTCTGCAGATGAGAGCTGCCCCCCTCATCCCCCTCTCCGAGCTCCCACACTGCTGCCACGGCCCCTCCTGCCTCGTCTTACCCAGCCTCCTTAGAACTCAGCATTTTGGCCCAGATGAGGTCAGTGTCAATGGGCTCCTCGCGAGGGTTAGTGGAGCTGACCTGCAGCATCAGGCTCTCGCAGGGGGCGCCGGTTAGTGTAGCCAGGCCTTCAATAGCACGCCCTGCCTGGAGGGCAAAGTACGAACCATGAAGCTTGGCCAGGGCCTTCTCAATGAGCGCGACCCACAGCTGCTTCCTCTGGGCCTGGGGAAAGAGAAACACATCATGAGCCACTCCGAGCAGGAGATGGACAAGCACTCACAAAGCCCAGCTCACCCACCTCTGCCAGCCCCCCGTGGCAGCGGGACCAGGAGCTCATCCCCACGAGGCCATGGATGAACCCTTTGCTGCCTGCTCAGCGCGTTGTCTGCGTGGTTCAACTCCCCTTGGGAAAATCATGGAATCTCAGAACCATCTGAGTTGAAAGAGACCTTTAAAGGCCATTTGGTGCCACTCTCCTCCAACGAACAGGGACATTCACAGCTCCATCAGGTGCTCAGAGCCCATCCAGCCTGACCTTGAATGTCTCCAGGGATGGAGCATCCACCACCTCTGCAGGCAACCTGTGCCAGTGCCTCACCACTCTTATCATGAAGAACCTTTTTCTTCTTGACATGTCCAGTGCTCAGATGCCAACACAGCTGCAGCCTGGGGCACACAGAAGGGGTTCCTACCCACCTCCTTCCTCAGTGGGTCAGACTGCAAAATGTTCCATGAGAGACACATGGAACAGCAGGCCTACACTTGAACACTCGCAAACAAAAACCAACAAACCTTTGGTGGAAGAGGCTGCCTAGAGCACACACAGCTTCAGGGCTGATCAGATTTCCCATGTGGAACCCAGAAGATGTCTCAAGGACAAGCTCCACAAACTCAGGCAAACTCGTCTAGCTCCAGCACAGAGACAGAGGCGAGATGAAATGAGAAGATGTGTTTTCACAGGGGGAAAACTCTCTTTGCACCCTTGTGGTGCCAGGCTATAAATCTTGGCACAGCCAGACTGAGCAGGAATCCATAAAGAAACACAGAACACGCATTAATGTACCCAGAGGTTTATGAAGCCTCTGTAAACCCATCAACACAGTGTTGGTGTGCAGCATTCTCAGTTGTGTCCAAGTCACCACTCAGCATGGCTCATGGTGCAGCCAGCAGCGGTGCTTTGCTACAGTCCTGGGCACAGCCAGCCCTGGGAGGAGACGTGGCTGCAAAGGCTGCAGGTGTACAAACACAGGAGGCAAGGAGACAGGTAGCGAGGCTTCTGTGTCTCCAACAAATCCAGTTCAGCTGGTGACACTCCAGCACTGTGCTGAGAGGGCAGCAGGAGAAAACTCCAGTACATGTGTGGCTGTGCGTGGCTCACAGGTGGCCGCCAAGGGTTAGGAGGGGAAAGGAGGGCTGCAAAGACTGGAGAAAGCTCACAAATTCTTTTCTCTGGCTTGTTTCTGAGTCTCAACAAAATCCATGGTGTTTATTTCTGGCTGAGACGCGGCCTCTGATCACTGACAAAAGCATGATTTTCCTTTCATTTTAAAATTCTTTGGCTTTCCTCTGCTAGGCCCCCACATGCAGCTCACACACTTGAACACCCCGCAGAAAAATCTCATCACGATTCAGACGCATTTGGAAACAGCAGCAAGGCAAGCCCAGCGCCCGTGAAAAGCTTCAGTCTCAAAAAAAAACAACAGTGCAGACTCAAAATTGATAAAAGGAGTGAAGATGAATGGAGGGGAGGGGAAGGGAAGTCTAGAAAGGCAAATCCTACGCTGAAAATAAAGAACTGCATCTGCCTGGATCCTGCCCACCATAAAGGCCAACACCGGGCACTTTCATGCTGTGGGAGATGCTGAGTGCAGCTCAGGCTGGGGACTCTGTGAGCTGCACCAGCATGCAGCTTCCCTGATGCTCATCTCCAGGCCCTGTTTCCCCATAGTGCCGTCCTCACAGTCTGCACGCTTGGAGCTGTGTGTATTGTAAAAAGGATTTGGATTTGCACAACAAAGTCAAACCCAACAGTCCCAGCTCCCTGTCTCCAGCACGGTTTGGCTGACAGATTCTGCAGTCTGAGTTTCAATAAAGACGTTCTCAGTCTCCTTCATGGAAATGATCCCAGCAAGTGCCCCTGGGCCTGGCAAGCAGGGCAGAATGTGCAATGACGTCCCAGAGTGGCTCAGGGAGCTTCATTCATCCTAGCAGATGCCACCTGAGTGTGCTCAGAGCCACCGGGCACTGGCTCCAAACTGGCTGCTCTGTGCATTCCCCCCCTCGCCACAGCCCCTCCCTGGCAAAGCCAAGCTGCCAGACCTTCCCGCAGAGCAAAGACACAGCTTTTGCTCAGCTCCTCTCTGCCCCCTCAGTGCAAAAACATGCAGAAATATTTTCCTTTTGCTGTGCACGTAAAGATGTCCTCCCATGCCCATGAACTGACCTGCAATGCAGAGAGGAGCGATGCAAAAAAAACAACTGCAAAATCAACTTCTCCATCACAGCATGGAAAACACCAAAAGGTCTACGTTGGGTTTACACAACGGCCTCAAAGAGCTCAGCTGAGCTCAGGGTGCAGCAAACAGCACCCAGGCAGCCCGCAGAAGGTGCCCCATGTAAACTACAGCACAGACAACTGGGCACAAGCTCCTTTCCCCAGAGTGCTGCCCACCCCCCTGTGGGCACCGGAGCTGCTGACCTGTGAGAAGAGGAGGTACCCGCACTCATCGCAGGGCAGCATGTCGTCCACCAGCACTGTGGTCCACGTGCCATCCTTGCAGAGCCGCACCTGGTAGGCGCCTTCGGGGCACAGCGTCCGTGTGATCATCACCCTCTCCACCAGCTCTGGTCGCTCAGCCAGAACGGCCAGGGCGCTCAGGAACCTGCAGGGAATAGGGATGCACTCAGTGAGCAGCACGGGGCAATGCCCCTGCCCAGCAAATGTGTGCTTGGGAAGGGGAGGACGGGCCCCATGTAAGTGGGCTTGGGTACGGCTGACGGGTCTGAACCCAACCTGGGTGTTGGGGGAAGGAGCAGCAAGGGTGACCCAGCTCAACGCCTCCTTACCAGCAGTTTCCCAGCAGTCCCTGAAGGATATCCGAGGGTCTGGGTGTCCGGAACACCGACCACTTCACCGATCGGTCTTTGAAGATGTTACAGTTGATTTCGTGGGGCCGCAACCACTGCTTCACCCTCTGCTGCACGCTGTCACCTTCTGGGAATCCCACAGACTTGGGCCCAGGGTGGAAACTGTCATCTACAAAATTGACTTTGTTCTGCAAGAGCAAAAGGCAAGGATAGCATGAGTGTGTGCGGCACACGCAGCTCCCGGGGCCTCCAGCTCAGAGCCACAAGCCCATTCCCTCCTCAGGGCTCCCAGCTGTAGCTCAAATCTGCCTTTCTCTGTTTTACAGGAACCTTCTGGGCAGGCAATGTCTCACACCTCACACTGGTGCTAAAAGTCAGACGGTGGGGAAGCTTGGCTGCCTCTACAAGCAGTGAAGCAGGCGAGCAGCAGGCCTGCAGGGAGCATCTGGCAACCAACCTCCCCAGCACGAGCCCCACGCTAAGCTGCCCTGGCTCTGCAGCCCCAGCCCTGAGCTCCGGATAATCACAGAATAAAAAGAGTAAAATAAAACAGGATGGACTGAAAGGCAGATGATCCTGTAGGTATCAGCTGCAGATGTAGGATGGAAGCCCAGAATTTCTCCGAGGGGAGGAGAATGGCTTTTCCGGACACTTTAACACAGGGTGAAGTAAGAACCGGGATTTGTTACTGTTAATTAAATGAAATTAAATTCTTTCTGCTTTAAATGAGCTTTTATACACAACAAGCTGGTATTTGTCCTTCCTCTTCTGCTGCAGTTCTAGCTCACTGATGTGAACCCTTTCTACACAGTGCCTCAATTAGCGCTCCTGTTCTGCAGAAGGGTGTTTTGCAGCTCATTGTCACCATGCAAACAAAATACAGGCCAAGGAGGACACGTCCCCAGGATCCACATTCTCAAGGAGAGCATCTGATCCACGCTCACAAGTGCAGCTGGCACTGCACATTTCAGAGCACACGCATCCAAACGCCACGAAGCCCTGTGCTATGACAGACTGGGGAGCATTGGCTGCACAGGACATTTGGTGGACACTTTGCCAGGCTCCTGCACGCTCGCCAGGGCAGCAGCGAGTCTGCTCCTAGACGGTGCCAGACAAGGAGCTCTGCCTGTTTGTCCTGCGAGGGGATAAGACTGTAAACAGAATGGTTCTGCAGGCAGAGGTGCCAGAGCAGGCACAGAGAGCAGAGTCCTGGGTCGTGTTTCTGGCTCTGCAGAATCCGCTGTACTGCTGACACACGCCGTTATGCAGAAAGGGGAAGGACACTGAATGAGAGGAGAGGAAAAGCACGAGACAGGAGGATGAGCGAGAGAGGGGACAGCACAGGGCAGGAAGCAGCAGCCCTGCGCAGAGCGGCAGAGGTCAGACCATCTTTCCTCCCAGATGAACATGAAAAGATTAAGTTAAAAATGAGGGCCTGGGGATAAAGCTAAAAATGGGGTCCAGGCACTGGACTGAAACTCCCTGCATGAAGGGTTTTGATTTTGAGAAAGGCACTGCTGGAATAACAGAGGAGGCAGAAATCTCTGCTGCAAGGTAGGCTGCTCCTACAACTCATGGACAGCAGGCAGAAGGTTTGGCCAGTTGATGCTCCCCTCCAGTGCTGACACACAGCAGCCAGAAGGAGGATGTTCTGAGGCTGCCTGACATCCCAGCTTGGCCAGGGGGAGCTGTGGTTGGGCTGCTGCAAGAAGTCACAGACACACAGGGAGAAGAGAAAGCAGGAGTCTGAAAGCAGCACCATCCCACCACTGTAGGAGCTCCACGAGCCAGGCAGCCCACGCTGATGCCCTCTGCTCTTACGGACAGCTGCACAGGATGAGGTGAGGAAGACTCCTTCCCCTTTTAGCACTGGAGGGCTGCTCATTCAGCTTGGCCATCTCACCTAATATTCAGGCCTGATTCTACTGGACATCGCAGATGCTCCCTGCCTACAAGAGAATGCTCACTTGCAGAATCAGTGTCTCTCTGCTATAAAGACACCCAGGTCTATTAAGGAAGGACACATAGCAATTAAAAGAAAAACAACCCCAAAACAGAATCATTCTCAGTGGTTTAGTTCCTAGGTCAAACACCTCCATGATGACCAGTCTGTGCAGCACAGACACAGGCACAGAAGCACTCCTTGGCCCAAGCAGGAAGAATCTTGTCTGCGTCAGAATGGGACTGCAATTCCCTTTCCATCTGGTCCACAGGAGCTGGAGGCTTACCCCAGAAGGAAAGCAGAGAAAGAACAGCATTTGCAGGAGCATCTTCTGCCACTTGGGGGAAAAACAGAGCCACGAGAGTGCTGTTTGAGACCGAGACCCGACAGATTAAAACAGATAGCGCACAGCGGAAGGGAAGCACACACATTCCTGAGACCCTCACCTGGAACCAGGACAAAGCTCAACCTCTGCTGTCCTTCCCCAGATGTGGTGAGGTACTTACAGCTGCATATTTGCAAACATATCTGCAGCCTGAGAAGCCTCAGGACAGAGAAACGGTGCAGGACAAAGGCAGGACTTTGGAAGCCCTCAGAACCCCAGGCTCACTCACAGCTGCAGAGGTAACAGTGTCCTCTGCTCGCATGCCTGCCAGTGCTCTGAGCTCTGCCTGCAGTATCTTGATTTCCTGCACCTGCACTGCAGCTGCTGCCCAGAAACATTGGGACTACCAGCACGCACTCCTTCCCAACCTTCACTCCTGGGCAGTAAAGAACTGGACTGATCACCTAGGAATGTCTCCTTCAGCACTGATCTCTCTCACTGATTTGAAGTATCGCTATGAGCCAGAGCTCATGGTCACACTTCCTCACCTTTGGACAGAGAGTGAACCAGATAGGTTCCTTGGAAGGCCCCTTCACCTTAGAAATTACCTTACATTTAAAATACTACACTTTTCAGTGCAACGACCCAGTATGCATCCATTGCAAGTGAATGTTTCTGCAACTCCCAAAGTCACAGCAACCGCTTGCTTGTCCAAAGCCACATTCCAGATCCACAGGGCAGGAGTGACAAGGGTGCTCTCCAAGCGAGATCAGAAGCAAGAGGAGCTCAGCTCACACTCACCTCCCTGCAGAAGGTCACAATGTTCTCCCACAGGGCCTTGGCTTCTCCTTCGTCTGTCTGCCTCCTCTTTTCCACGTGCATGCTCTCCCTCCTTTTGAGGGGCTTGAGTCCCTTGCGCTGGGCCACGTACTGCTGCGGGGTATGGCAGGCCACGCAGTGCTTGGCTTTCAGCTCATTGAGCAGGGTGCACGCAGGACAAGCCCACTGGCCCGGCCGGTCCTGAGCACCAGGCAGCTGGGATGGGAAGAGACGGGCGACCTTGCGAGCTGAGGGTGCCTTGGTGCCACAGGAGGAGCAGCTGCCCTTCTCACCAGCCCCACACTCGGGGCAGCGGGGGGATGGCTCACCCTGTGGGCTGTGCTCCTGGAAGCCGTGCAGCTTGGAGGAACCGCAGACTTTGCACTTCTGGGCTGCGGTGGGGTTCTTGAGGGTGCACTTCGAACAGGACCAGGTGGTGAAGTCAGGGCTGGAGGGGCTACAGGGGGTGAACCTCACCGAGTCCCCCACTAAATTGATGGTGTCGCTGCCTTTCTGGGTGCTGCAGGCCTCGCATTTGCCGGTCCCGGCGGAGTTGAGCAGGGAGCAGGTGCTGCACTTCCAGTGGGACGGGCTGACATCCATCTCCTCCTCCAGCACGCTCAGCCGCTTGTTGGACAGCAGCTCCTGAAGGCGAGCAGCCGGCGCGGCCCTGGCCTGGCCCTGTGGGGAGCCCTTCTGCCCCGCAGTGCCCTGAGCCCCGGGCTGCGGTGCTTCGGGGCCCGGCATCTGCAGCTGGGGGGGGACCTCGCGCCGGCTGCGGGGCACTGGGTTGTTCTGCAGCCCGGGGGAAAAGGGGCTGAAGGCCGGCATCTTCTGTGCCTCCTGTTCCATTGCCACCGGGCCCTGAGTGGCCGCGGCGTCACCGTCAGAGATCTCTGTGGGGACTAAAGACTGCGGGGTGGAAGGGGCCATGTGAAAGCCAGCAGGGGTGATGACCTCAGGGACGACCAGCGCCTCCGGTGGGATTTTGGGCAGGGAGAGTTTGCGAGGCCCGCCGCAGGCCGAGCAGGAGTTGGCCACTGGAGTGTTGTGCAGCGTGCAGCGCTGGCAAGCCCAGCCGCTCTCCAGCTCTGCTTCGTCAGGACTCTTCCCCTCTGAATCTTCGCTGCTGCTTTCCACCTTGGCAGCCTCCTCCTTGGCTGTGCCCTTGGGCTCCACCAGCACTGCAGGCTTGGGCAGGATGCCATTGATGACAGGCAGGGGAGAGCCGCTGGGCCCCGGCTCCGGAGTGAAGCCGCACACCTCGCACGTTTCTTTGCCCAAAAAGTTCTTGAAGGTGCAGCGGGCACAGGCCCACTTCTGCTCCTCCACGCTGAGCCGCAGGATGTGGTTGAGGTCAGGCTTCTGGCGCGGAGCTTCGCATATGGAGCACTGCCGTTGGCCCACGGGGTTCAGGAAGGTGCAGCGGGTGCAGGACCACTCGTGCACGGCAGCCATGGAGCCGGGAGAGTGGGAGTGGCTGGAAGAGAGCAAAGACAGAGTGAGCGAAGGGCCAGCAGGTACACGGGGGTGTCAGGTGTTCCCCAGGCTGGCACAGGCAGGACCTTGCTTCCAGGAAGGAAATAAGCAGCAATTCAGCCATTGCTCTCCAGGAACTCGTTTCTCTGGCACTGACAGCATAATTCTGCAAGTGCACAGCAGAGTGCCAGCTTCCACCCAAAACACCTTGGGAAGGGCACAGAAAGCAGTCCACAACCCCAGTGAGCCTTCTGCTGCACCAGGAAGCAGAGTAGGAGGGCAGGGCACCTGACCAGCATGGGCATTCACACCTGAGAATTGCTCATGCCTCAGCTGGGCAACACCTAGCCCACTTTTCTGCTCCCAGCATCAGTTCATTCCTCTTTCAGAGCCATTCCAGTCCACCTCTGAAGCATTTTCTGCTCTCCTCTCCTCCAAGCTCACCTCAGGTACCCATGCTGAAGGGAACCAAGATCTCTGTTGGCACCAGCTAGTAGTTCCAGGGGCTCAGCATTTCCCAATTCCCCCTATTTCAGTCAGCAGCAGGTTTCTGTGTCCAGTAGACTCCAGGGGGCACCATGCCCCAGCTGCACCCCTGCTTACCTGGGAAGTGGAGAGGCCACGGACCCTGGCAGCCCTTGGTTTCAGCCTCCAGACCTGCAGGGAAAACCCTGACACCTGAACACAGGAACAGATCCAACACACGCCAAAGGCAGTGGCAGCCCCTGGGCTTACAGAGAGCAGCCCTCCTCACTGTGACTCTCCTAGTGCTTTCAGGAAGGCGATGCCCTGATTGCACATGTGCTGATGAGAAACTGGAAGAACAGCAGCACTTCAGATGCCCTTTGTCCCCTGCTCTGGGTCACTTCCTGAAGCGTTCAACCATACTGGGCTGAAACAGAGTTTCCTGCTTCCTTCTCCTTTGTACAAAGACCAAATAGCTCTCCTGCAGGTAAATGCAAAGCACTAGAGCACTAGTGCACTCCAGGTAATGCAGAGCCTCTGAGTCCACCCCGCACCCGTAGCTCTTCCTGGGAACACTGACTTCAGGCTGCCCCAGAGCAAGGAGCCAGCAGCCTGAATCAGAGGGCTCACCATCCACACAGCACAGACCGCAACAAAGAAGGGAGAGAAAACGTGTTGTACTACAGAGGACAGGTAGAGAAAGCTCTGAGATGCTCATGCACTCCATGGAGGGAGTGTGGTGCCAGCTGCCCTTCAGCATCCTGAACAGCAGCACCTGCACAAACAGCTTCCCAAGGCAGTTGAACTGATTGCATTGCAGCAGCAGGGCTTTGAGGGGACAGAGGACACAGCAAAAGCCACCCCCCATGGCTGGGTACAGGGGCTGCTCTCCCAGGAGCATCCTAGCAGCATCCAACCACATTTCCCAACCACATCTTGCTGCTAGTAGCAGAGCAGCTCTCCCTCACAAGGAGATCAGATGCAACCTTCAAATCCCTACTTTAATCAAACGTTTCTCTAAATAAAGCCTGAATCCAAAAAAATCCATTTTATTTCAAGAGAGAGCTTGAAAATTCATTTGGGTTCATACACCGTGCCTTCACAGTTTGAACTTTACAAGGCGTTTATTTGCTGGAGTTCTTTCAAGAATCTTTCCCAGCTAAAAGAAATATAAACATTGATTTTTCTGCCTGAAGTTCTACAGCCATGAGCACAGTCTCTCCCTGTAGAAGCTCACGAATCTGAAAAGGAAACCAGTCTTCAAACAGAGAAAGGGAAGGAGCTGTGTGACCGGCTCCAGCAGAGGCAGGGAAGCAAAAGGGGCCATGAAGGGCACCGTGATCCTGTCACATCCATTTGTCTTACTGGATAAGGCTCATCAAACTACAGACATCAGCAAAAGGCAAGCAAAGGCTGCCAGCAACCAGCGCCATCCACATCCATCCTGCAGCATCCAGTGCTGAAGAAGCATGGGCTCAAAAACCGACCCCTAACCGCGCACGCCGCACTGCTTACCGCAGGTTGGGACCCTCCTGCTCCTCCCGCTGCGCAAAGGACAACAGAAAGAAATCACCCCCTTTCCTGTGTCAGTAGAGAGAAGGGAAAAAACAGGATACCCAACAGGACACGAGGGGACAGTGGGATGAGCCAGGAGTGCCTGATGTGCTTCCAGCAAGGAGCTGCAGGCTCAGGAAGACAGCACGGCTTCCCTTGGCCAGGCAGGCAAAAGGATGCAGCAGCCAGAACACTGCAGGGCTCTGCCCTGCTGCTGCACTGCCTGTGTCTGTCCCCAGTTCTGACAACAGCCACAGAGAGCTGCTGCCTCTCCCTGGCATTGCTATCCCTGTCCTGGTCCCCCCTCTGCCCTTCCATGCCATCCACTCCAGTAACACCAGCCTGCTCACCACTGGGATTTCCATCTGCTTGAATCTGACAGCACCCAGAAAAGCTTGCTTTTTGCCAGCTTTTGCTTTTGCTGCTCCCTCATGCATCTGTGACTTTCCTGGCAGCAGAAGGACCACCAGCATGGCAAGCTGGTAGGGACATCCCTGTCTTCTTGTCCTCAGGAGGCTGTCACATCTTGCCACCAAGCACAGCAACCACACAGCTTTCAATGCAATCTAGTAGGAGATGCAGAGAAATGGAAGGGGACATGGGCAGGCATCTTGGGCCGTCCCCAGCCCAGTACTGGTGCATCAGCCTAGACGACTGGCAGTGCACAACTGCAGCCTGTTTCTGCCCAGGACTGGTGAACAATCCCACTCCCTCCCTGGAGCACCAGGGTGTCGAGGTGACAGCAGGTGCAGAGCTGAACAGGCAATGCTGGGTGCTGGCCCTTGGCCTATCCTCACGCAGCAGACCTCATACCTATGCTCAGAGTACCACAGCAGCAGCCATTCTCCCATGGCTCCGCTTACCTCTCACAAAGATGCTGGGTGAAGGAGGAACCCTCAACAGCTTGCCCAGGGTCTCTACTTCTCCCTATAAAGCCTGGCTGGCTCATTTCCTGGCAGGCAACAAGCCTGTGTGAGAAAATACAGTTGTCTCCGCCATCTCTTCCCCAAACCCATCTGCTGTATGATAACACACATGCTCTCCAGCCCCAGAAGACGCAACTGAGATAAACATTGCCTGCCACCTCCCTGAGTGCCCTGCAGGAGAGGGGTTCTCCTCACAAAACCCACTCCGTAGTGACCTGCAAACTCACCCACCCACAGGAGGGCTTTTTCCTGGAAGCAGGCACTCTGTAGGGAGCACCATGATGCAAGCAAAGGGTGCCCAGCCTCTCAGCACTCAGCGACGTGGCACGTCAGCTGGCAGGAGGCATCACCACCTTAGCAGCACTGCACCTACCTTAGCAGCCTAACTGTAATACCTTAAAAAAAAATAAATAAAAGCCTGTACAAAATACTCAGCCAAGTATGGCGCTGTCAGTGTGATGTGATCCCAGGAAACCCCACTGCTTGCTCTTCACTGGAGATCTATGAGTGCCACCAAGCCCAAGGCCAAGATGACAGCCTCTAGAGAGAGAAGTCCAGGCAGGTTAAGCAGTTGTTTGCCTCTGGATACTGTTCTGAGGACAGAGATGGCAGCAAAAGGCTGTCACTAGGAGGGAAGGGAGAGTTACCGCAAAGGTATCGCTGGTCCTTTGCTTCCCTTTAAGGAGCAGGAATTCTCCTCTAACTAAAGCAGGGCAGAAGACAGTGAAAGGATTCATAAGGCATTTCCAAACCCACCTCAGGACAGTGATGACCGCCTCTGAGGGCTCTGCTCAGCTTGCTTGTCTTGCCACAGCCCTGGCACCCACACATCAAACAAGCCAGAGGTCTCTGTTACCCCTGGGTGTCATCTGGGACCAAAGGCATTGCCCGAGGCCTCCTCAGAGCAGGACAAGACAGGAAGGAACAGGGCAGGGTGCAAGACTGGGAAGTGCCCCAAACCTGCAGTTTACGTCTTTCCTGCAGATAGGGAGCTGGTGCTGTGCCAGCCCCAAGTGCCACGCATCCCCAAGGGCAAGAGATGCCAGCCAGCCCTGGCCAGAAGCTCAGACTACCACTGTGAATGACTCGAGGTGACCCGGGCACTGGAGCGAGATATCCAGCATTCTGCTGCACAGCCCCCAGCAGTGTGCAGGGCTGCATGAGCTTGTGTCAGCACCAAGATCAGGCTGCTTCTCTAAATAAAGCTCCTCCAGAGGAGCTAAAGCCTTACAACTTACTGCTTCAGTTCTCTCCAGCAATAAATAAACAAATAAACAAAAATCAATTGTTCTCGTCAGCAACATACAAGCCCCGAGTTCTCTGATACAGAATGTATTGTAGCAAAACCCTCCTGCTTGATAAATACAAGAAAGGGCATTAGATCTTTGCGGTGGAAAAAGGAAAATCATACCAACCAAACAAACAGAATCCTGCCTCAATTATCTGTGAGCTGTAAAGCAGTTCTCCCATGCAGCTGTTTTCTGTTTAACTCCTTCCAGCAGCACCGACCCGGGGGAGCAGCCTCACACACGGACCTACCACACCTCCAGCAGCAGCTGCAGCAGAAGACAGCCATGGCCGTGCAAGGATGGCTGCAGGAGGTCAGGGAACACGCAGCACCTCTCTGGCAGTCGAGCAGCTGGAAGGGCACTGGGTGGCACTGCTGGCTCCTGCCTACAGCCGCGCAGCCCAGGCAGGGAGAGACTGGTGGCTGAGCTGCCTTCCTCCTGCAGAGCCACGCAGGGCTGGGCTGGATCAAGGGGAAGGTTTTGGCAGATGAACTGGCGGAGCAACATAGAAAAGCTATGAGCAGGGACTTCCCGATATTTACAGATTTTTATAGGAGCATCAGTAGAGGAAAACAGCCTCTGATTCACACTTGTAAGCCCCCAAGGCTGCAGAAGTGTCATCAGCTCTGTGCCAGCATCATACAAACAGAGCAGGTTGCATAAGCATTTCCAAAACCTTTCTCCCTCACTCCTCTAAAGTGGGCCAAGTAAATAAAACAGGCTGAAGTTCCATTGACCTTCACCCAAGCTCAGAGAAGCGCAGCCAAAATGAAAGCACAAGAAGGGACCTCTCCCTTTGTGCTCATCTCCCACTTTCCCCCAGCACAGTTCTTCAGCTGTAGAAGGGAAGATCACAAAGAAAACAGCCCCTGAGCTCACCCAAGCTTTCTTGGAGGCTCACACTAGAGCAGCAAAGTCAGAATCCACACCAGGTGGATCCTTCAAGATGAGACTGGAGCTGGGGCCCTGGTCTGAGCTCCCAGCTTTCCCTGGACAGAGCAATTACGTTTATGCAGAAAACAGTAACTGACAATGCTAATAACTCATGATGAAGAAAGACAACTCTATTTGCTCTGTTTGGTAAAGTAATGGTGGCAGAGGAGGATTCACTTATCCAAGTAGAAGGGAGAAAATAAATTCTGCAGCAGAAGACCTTGCAGCAGTGAGCACCTGAAGGCGAACAGGGCCATTAAAAGACCCGTGAGCAGCACACAATGCTCCCTACAAAGGGCCAAGAGGCTCAGGTAGATACTACAGGTTTTCCAGGCTGATGACACACTTCCTGGTATCTCTTGGTCCCGTTGCAGCAGATCTCGTGTGTGTTCTTGCACAGTTTCTGTTCAGCTTCTACACTTTTTCCCACGCCGGACACAGCTCACAAAGTGCTCAGCCAGCTCACGTGTGATTCACTGGCCAGGGAGAAAAGAGGCTGCGAGTTTTAATAAGAAGGCTCCCGGGGGAAAATTGAACTCTGCTAAATGAGAAGTGTGAGAAAAAAACATAGGCCCCAGCTAAATGGAGTTTACTCAGCAGTACATGTTTGTGGCAGCCAACAAAACCACAGAATCTGCTCTCAAACTGCAACTTTCCCAGCAATTTACTTTGCAGTCAATTCCCAGAGAAGAGGGCTTGCGTGTCTTAACAAAGATGTTACTGGGGAGAGGACAGGGAAGAGGAAATGATTTCCAAGGCAACACTGTAAGTACAACTGCTTGCAAAGGATGCAAGAGGAACAGAGAACATGCTTCTCTACCTTTCGCTGGCAATGCAGCAGGTCCCAAGGAAGTGCCCGGAGCCAGGTGGGAAATGAGCAGAGGCAGAAGCACAGCAGACACAGGAGCACCTTGAAACTCCTAGAAGATGCACCAAAACCTGGCCTTGATGAAGGAAAGAAGTTGTAAAGATCTTCATTGCTCGCAGAGTCCTCTTGACTGAAATCCCTGCCTGGGTTTGACTGGGGAAAAGGAGAAAAAGAGCAGAATCTTTGAAGGCATCAGCACGTCTGATGAGGTGGGCACTGGAGTTCCGGGCCTGCAGCTGTTGCAAGGATGCAAAATAACGCAGCTGGAAGGAGCACACTTCACACCTGCTTTCTTCTAAGGCTGCAGACATACAGGTAGTGTTACCCTGAGCTGATTTGCTGGAGTCTTTCATCATTCTTCATGCAGAATCTTCAAAGCAGAATGCGAATCTGGAAGGCTTGCCTTGTGAGAAAAACAGGACGTGCATCACTGGCCTTTAATATGCCTTAATTGCTTCAGTGCCTAGAAATACTATTTTGGGGAAGGAAACCAGTTTGGCTAGGAGAGCATCATGCAGCTCCACACTGATGAGACAAGACTGTTCTCAAGGGCTCCTCTGCAAATGAAAAGGTTACTCAAATTTCTGCCCAAATAAGAAGAATCCCTGGGGGCACAAAAGGAAGAGGCACAGAGGGTATTTCAAGGAGGCTGGCAAGTCCAAGTCCCAGCTTTGATCAAACGCCGTGAGCTTCAGCAAGGTTCTGGGCTCACAATCTTCAGATGAGGGACCAAGCATCCCACCCCAAGGCAGCACCCCCCGAGGTGCAGGGCCCAGAGCAGATGGACTGTGGCAATGTGATCCATTCAGATCCCAGCAGTGCTGGCTGCACAGCATACCTTAAATAAACCTGTCAGTGCTGCCACCGTTCCTCAGTACAACTACTTCGCTTATCTCTTCTGTACCTCATTTCCCTAGTTTTGGGGTATCTGGGGAGATGAAGAGCAAATAATGCTATGGTCCAATTGCACGTAAGTATTCTGCTCCATAAGGAAAACTTGCATGCCATTAACTCTGCCTGACATCTTACTATGGCTTAAACAGGTTTGACAATGTCTTAATACATTGATTTTGCTTCAGGGAGTGATGAATTAATGGCCTCAATCTACATCTTGCCTCGCTTAGGTGCATTTCCTCACTGACTTTGACTGAAATCCACATACAGTTGCTATCTGAATCCCACTTAAGAGCAAACGCTTTAAAGAAGGTACACCATACCACTTTTACTGCTGTTGTTTTTTTTTCCAGACTCAGGAAATTTGGTTGTAGAAAGAGCAAAGAAATATTTGGGCAGTGCTAAAACATTAGGGAGTGCTTCAGCATGCACACAGCCCCACAAAAGCTGCCCTCTCAGGTGAAAAAGACCCAAAGCCTCCAGCAAACGAAACACAAGAACCGAATTAATTTGCTTTTTTTGTTGTTGTTGTCGTTGTCACAAAAATCTTTTCCAAAAGAAGAATGAAGATCACTACAGCAATGCACAGGACTGTGATTAACTCCTTCTGCTGCACCATTCTCAGCATCACTGCAAATAATGGAGCCAGAGAACAGGAAGCTCTGATCTCCAGAAGACAAACAGAGCCAAGTCACATTGGACGCTCGTGGCTTCAGCTGCCTCAACACGTGGAGCATGCAGAGAACAGGAGTCTTGTCTGTCCAAAAGCCCAATCTGATTTGATTCAGCTACCTTGCATGTTGGTTTTTCTCACTGTGTTCTATCTCTGGGCTGAAGAGCATTCCAGCAAGCTTCCCACATCAAATAAAACTGACCGGCAACATTGACGAGCAGCTGAGATGGAGGAAGGCCAGGACTCTTTTGAAGTCAATCCCACAAACAGGAACAGTGCATCTTGTGGACCTGCTCCTAAATAAAATACTTATCTGCCATCAAACCGAGGCTGAAGATCAGAAAAACAACGTTTTCCATGCCCAGATAGGGTAAGGGTCTTGTAAACAGGTAGAAACACAAAGCCAGGACTATAAGAGACACTGTAACTCAGCTTGTGGCCCTTCAGAGTCATCGACCTCAGCATGGTACAAGCAGCTCACAGTGCACACGTGCCAGCAGACGCCCCTGAGCACATTTGCTCATCAATGTTGAGAACAGATTTAGAGTTAAGATGCACTGCTGCTTCCAAGTGCTCACCTCAATGGTCCCAGCAGGAGGAGATCTGCAGTTACTCACGTGGAGACGCCTGAACGCTTCTGCAGAAAAGGTGGTAAAGGAGAAATTTCAAACTCAAAGATCCCCTCAGTTAGGAAGGAAGAGTTCAAAGGAAGTGTAGGGACTCCCAGAATGGATCCACTGAGTGGCCTCTAGGCAACCACAAACTCCCCAGAGGTTTGCGATGGCTCGGTCCCAGCAGACACCTTCCCTGCTCGGTAACAGAGATGAACTGAAGGAAGGTGAAGCTGAGGGAGAAGAGCAGTGGAGCTGCCAGGCAGCAGGACCAGCTGCAGCTCAAGACAGACCCAGCAGAAGAGAAGCAGCGCCTGCTGACTGGGCTCCAGCATCCAGCCTCAGATCTCAGCCTGGGGACCTCAGGTCCTTTGAACACAGAGAAATTATTCTACAGCAAACGTGGCCCTGGCTCCATCAGCACAGTCAGAACTGACAGAACAGCACTGATACCACCACACATGTATCAGGGAGCAGCAAGGACATCTCACCGTCTGGGATGACCTCTAGGACAACCCCCACACAGGGCAAGGTCCTCTAAACACCAAGGTGTGCCACAAAGAGGGTAGGAGATAACAGGAGCACCCTGACAGGCTCCCGTGGCCCACAGGACAAACACACTCACAGCATCCCACAACGTGAAGCCTCCACGGCCACTCGGTGTGATTTCAGATGAGATGTGGGATGCAAGGGACAACAGGCACCTAGTGCAATGTTACAGAGCTGACAGAGCTCACGGGCGCTGCTTCCAGACATACTCTCATGCTGCCCTGTAATTTAAGAGAGTAAATTAAATTTCTTCTTCCTGTGATGAAAAGGAAATTGAATGTGCTGAAAGCAAAATGCTGCTGTTGGAGGAAGCCAGGCGAGGTTGGAAAGGCCCCCTGCCCCTCAGGTACCCCCATGGGTGATCAGGGTGATGAAAGCTCTGGCAGGAAGGGAACCCGCAGGGAAGTGGGGGCAGGAGCACCTGCCGAGCCCCTCTCTGCCTTTGTCACCCCACTTCCCAGCCTGCAATTAGCTGCATGGGGCACTGCTCTTTGCTAGGGCAACACCTACCTTTTTCCCTAAATTCGCCCTGAAAAATATCGCGGCATAACTCTAAGGGGCAATTAAAAATCCTACAGTAATCAACAGCTCCAAGTCATTTGGGATGGAGGGAGTGCAGAACTGTGCAGTGAGGCACTGGCAGAGGGAGGGAGCAGAGCCTCAGCTCCTGATTTGGAGCTGTTACCAGCCAGCATCCTGGCTCCCTCGCAGAATTGATGCCAGTCGCCTTTCATGCAAACAGGGAATATCGATGGGAGCCAGCCCTCACTGCCAGGCTCTGCAGCATCACCTCTCCCATGCCAGTCCATGAAGCTACCAGCCATGCTCAGAGCACTGCAGGCAGCACTGTGAGCTGCCAGGCAATATGAAAGGCAGTGAGACACCATGGTCACTGTCGGTGGCTGTCAGCCTCCCTTTTAGGGTGATTAACAGGCCTTAACAGAAAACTAAGCCAGCCCTATGCCTCAGGAAATCAGCTCTTGTTTAATAACTCTGCCAGCACTGATCTGCAGAAAGGAAAAGTTTCCCAAGACACAGAAGAAGAAAGATGAACTCTGGCAACTCCTGATGTCCCTGGAGTTCATCCTCTGGTCAGATCAGGGCACAGTGATCACTGCCACCCTACAAACAGCACAGGTGAGGATGGTGATTCTTTCTGAGCCATTTGCCTTCAGTGCCCCTAACCAGGGAGCACTGCAATCTCCCAGCGTACCTGAACAGCCCTCCTCCTTTGGCAAAAAGAAGCCTGAAGGCAGAGCACAAACCTGAATGTTCTCTCTTCTACCTCAGGAAAAATATTTGCAACTCCTCAGAAGAAGACTGATTCCGGAGGAGGATCTCAACACACAGAGCAGCAGCTCAGGGCACTGTCCCAAACAAATCAGGATGGGAGCTCACACACACATGCACCCACTCACTCTCTCCATCAAGCCCCTGGCTCTAGACACAGCTTTCAAGGACACTTATATTCACCCACTGTCAGACACTGGAAAAATGAACAAGGCAATTTGGAGCAGCCCGCTGCATTGGAGCCATGTTCATCTCTAACCATGCTGGGGGTATGAGGCAGGGCCAAGGGTGAACAGACTTGCCTGGCCCCGTATGGAGAGCAGAGGCTTCAGAGAGGAGTAAATCCCACCAACCTCACAGCTGCCTCCACAGCCTTTCCTCTCCTGGATCATCTGCACCTTCTCCAGCTCTGTTCCTCCTGCCGTGCTATTTCATGGCAATGAAATGCAGATGAATGCAGCACTGCACAAAATCTGCTGCTGCATCAGACATGTTTTGGGGAGCCTGCAGCCAGCAGGCTCTACTCTCCTTGCAGGCTTAGAGGAAGGAAGAACAGGGGGAGAAACTGCCGTGGGTGCTGCTCAGGCTCAGGTCAAATGAACCAGCATCTCCTCCTCGCAATTGGAGGAAGAAGCAATTTATTCTGACAAACAGTGAAAGCCTGCAGCAGGGTTGGCTCCTTCTATCAAACCCAGTGCACCACACAGAGGCTTACATGCTGGAGCAGCGAGGGGAGGTACTGGCAGTCAAATGATACATCTCCCTGTGTGAGTGATGCATATCAGCAACTCCGAAGAACAAGGCTGCAAAAGACACCTGCCTACTTACCCAGCATCCTGGAGGATGGCACATCCCCTCTCTTCATCTCAGAAGTGGTTGAACCTTTGGGCACGAGTGCCTCAGAAATGAGACGCAGCACCGAGGGGCTTTCAGCAATAAGTTGGCCCATGGATCGTCCATAGTGCAGGAGGCTGGGAAATAAAAGCCTTCAACTCGTAAGAGATCTGCAGCAAGAAGGATCTGGGATGCTAAGTGTCCAGATTAGCCAAAAGAATACAGGCAGCAGCACAACTCCTTCTGAAGCAATGTAACTCCAGCGTCCCTTTGGTCTCCAGGGAACACAGACATGACTGTGTCCTCCCTACCCTGCAGCAGTTGCTTGGCTGACAAAATCCTATCAAGAATCTGGGGAGGTTCTGGTCAGGATTGGGAACAGCTTTGCTACTCCAGCCTAAGAAACACCACCAGCACGTGAGACAGCTAAGACTGTATGCATCTCCATGTAAGTAACTGTGCAGCTCTGCACCCGCTTTGGAGCCTTGGATTCTCCTCCAGCAGAGGTCTGTGATCCAGACAGTGAACAAGGACTGAGACCAAGGACTGTGCTCAACTAAGTCTACAACAAGTCCAGAAGCCAAATATGAATTTCTTAATTCCTTGCAATGTTTATTCACCATCCTCTAAATTACTTGTTAATTTAATGACTTCCAAACCTTGGGATCAAGTCAGTCCTGCTGTCTGCAAACAGTAATAAACACAGAAATCAAGCAGACCAAGAATACTGAACTGTTCTCAGCCCAAAAGTCACAGGGCTTGGCAATCCAACTGTGTGAAGACATAAAGGCACGTGCTGCACCACTGCTCAGTGCTCAGCCTGTGCCTCATCTAAGCCAGGATGGCCACTTCAGGCAGCACAGCTCTCAAATGCTCTCCCCAGCCTTTCTGGGATCATACATTTGCCCATATCCCAGAATAAAAAGCAGCTGGAGTCACATCTGAGTGCTGCCAACAGGAAGATGAAAGACTGAATCAGACACTCCTCTTTTTCCACTGATGCTGTCTTTATGGGCTCTTCTCAGCACTGCTACACACACAGCTCCTTTAATTATCAATTTTCTACAGGTGGTGAAGTTCCAGATGCTCCTGGGAGCCTTTTCCAACTTTATTTATTTTATTTAAATAACAAGGGCATATGGTTTATGACAGCTATTAAAGGGTTGGTGGGTGTATGTGGAGAGAATCTTAAGAGAACAAAATAAGCATCCAAACCTGGGATTCGGCGAGCTACCAGGACCTCTGAGTTCCCAACACCAGCACCTGGCCACAGAGGAGCAGAGAACAGCCTCAGAGCTGTGAATGAGTTCCAAGCTCCTCTCTGACAATGCACTCCATTTCTTCAGTGCTGGCAAGACTTACACCTCTTCAGGTATAAACAGGTTGCAGCAGGCTGTGTGCAGGTGATGAGTTAGCCCAGATGAGAAATAGGCAGTAACACGGTAGCCCAGCATGCTGGGCTGCATGGGCAGCACTTCTCTTTGGTGGGGAAAACAATCCCAACAAGGACTGCTGTCCCATCGACCAGCTGTGTGTCCTGCAGCCCAGCTGTGGGAGGAAACTGCAGAAGCACAGGGGGAGCTCACAGACCTGAGCACAGCAAGCTTCAAAGGGCAGCCTTGATCACCTCTCTCCAGCTTGAAGTTGAAACAGACCCCGGAGGAGCAGAGAATTGGCTGGTCTTTGAAGGAGGATCTGAGCAGGGAGGCAGAGAATGAGAAGGAGCCCTTCAGTGGTACAGCTGTGAGACCATAAGACAGAAAAGCAAAGATGGGACTGATTCCCATGGCTGCATTTTAGATTCACCTGCTCCCGGTGGGGAGGGGAAACGCAAGGAAAGGAGCAAGAAGCTGAGCTCATGAAGCTGCTCTCTCTGAGGAGCTGGGACAGCTTCAGCAAGATGGGTGGACTCCTGAGACCAAAAGACCCCCGACTCCTCCCCATTTAGCCACCTGCATTTGGGGTACATCTGAACAATCATTCCAGATGTAATCCCTGCAGAGGAAAGAAATCAGGATGACGGGGAAGCTCTACTTGCTGTTTTCATTTCCCTAACTGCCTTTAAGCCAATTAAGGAATTTCTTTTCAAGTGAGGGTTTGCAGACTGCCTCAGAGGAGCCTGCGCTCCCTGAACAGAACAGGGCAAGGACGAGGCAATCATCTGGAGTCAGAGCCCTGCAGTCCCTAGACACTGCAGGGACTGCAGGCCCTGTGCTTCTCTGCACAAATCCCAGCTCTTCCAAACCCCCAGATCTCACGGCTTTGCAATGCAGTTCTGCAGTTCTTGCCTTTCCCTTTTGCATCTTTGTTTCTGCATCAGTACCAAAAAGCCTTACTGATCTCAAGCAGACCAATCCTTGCAGCTTTCAACACCTTCCCGAAGTTATAAGAATCCAACATGGAAAATGCCTTTGAAGCCTCAGGAACAGCAAAGATGAGGTTAAGATGAAGGCATGGTCTGTGCTTTTATCTTGCACCCATCATACTGTGCACAGGCCGTGGATTATATATGCATTCTGCATCAGAAGAGCACCTGCATGGGCCAGGCCTGGAGGAAGAGGTCCATTTGTTGGGATGAAGACCATCTTCTATTATCTTTAAGAAAGGGAACGATTTCAGATGTCACACAGTTGAACAACAGCAACATGTCATCCTCTCCCACGTTCAGCACTATTTCACACTGCTTTCTAAAACACCAGGTCTCATAGATTAGACAGACTGAGGGCCACAGCAGGAAGGAGACAGGAAAGGCTGATGGGACTGTGAACCACATGCACCAGGGGCTCATCCTCAGCCCTTACTCCTTGTGCAACTTTTCTCCTGTGTGGGGAAATGGAAGAGATTTAATGGTGGACATCAACTCGGCTAAGATTTATCCTCCAATCTGTAGTGCTGTTAAAATAAAAAGGAAAGAAGAGTGGGGGAACAAAAAGAGAGAATGAAAGGAAGGGGAGGGAGGAGAATTGGAGCAACAACACAGCTCCAAAGCTGTCTGCTTCCATCACTCACATTTCCAAGGAATAATTCACCCTGAGTTCCCAGCTGCTGTGCTCCAGCCTTCACTTCTTGCCATGCTAGTATCTGGGCTCACTTCACAGGGGAGCACACAAAAGGTCTGGTTAACAGAAGTCCACTCATTTCCACAAGCAGCTGCACTCAGACTTGACACAAGAGGCAGAGAATGGCACAAGGGATCATCTCCAGAGGGCAGGAGAGGACTGTCCCTCCCTCACTTCCACCCTCTCATTCCAGCACTGCTTGAACACAAACTCCATTGCTACCCACCAAGGTCAGAGATGAGCTCCTGCACCTCCAGGAGACCGCCAGCTTTGCACACTCATCAGCAGGCAAACAACCTGAGTCCCACCACCAGCAGCTCCAAATGAATGCCCACGTACAGCGGGCCAACAAAGGTCACCTGCTTCTCCTTCTCACGTGTCTGAACTTTGGAAGGAATGGTTATCAGCATCTGTTTGGTATCTCAGAGGAGTGCTGGATGGGGAGTAAAAAGGGGCCTGGAGCAGAGCAGCACCACAGCCTGCTCACACCCCACACTGCAGCTACTGCCGCCTCAGCTGAGCCAGCAACACATCTGAGACATGCCCTGCTCCAGCAGTCAGACAGTAATTACCAGGGAAGTCAGTACAATTCATACTGCCCCCAGAAGGCCTCTGGACTCAGTAATTCAGACTATGGTACTGTTTACTGCCTCATAAAGATGAAGCATACTTAAGTTAGTGCCTTGATAGCTGGAATCTAGAGGATGCTCCCAGCTGGAGCACATACAGCTAACCTTCACGTGTCCACATACCACTAAGAAGTGCCAACTAAGGCCACACTGGGGCTGCTCCCCACAGCTCAGCAACCTGTCCACACAGTGGGACACAGTTCTTCCCCCCACAGAGAGCTTAACACTTCCTTAACACTCCCAGAGCTCTCCAAGCCATGCACGCTCCCACTGGTCTCCCTCAGGTCTGCAAGGACAACCTGAAGGTGCCCATGAGCACAGGGCAGAGAGAAAGCACAGCCCTGCCCTCATCTCTGCACAGGATGGATGGATGGATCCCCACTGTGAGCCTAACAGTGAGCCAGGGGCTGCAGTTCATGCATGCCTGGAAGACACAGCATCGAGCACTAAGAAAAACAAGCCATTGTGCCAAGCTTTGCTATTTGCTAGATGCCCTGGGGTATGTGGGACATGAGGATGTGCCCAACACATGTTACTGCATGGACCACAGAAGTTGCTAGGCAAAATGACAACAGCTGCAGTGACCAGGCAGATACGTGCCATGCACTGCAACTCTGCAGCTTCTACAACAGCTTTTTCACATTTCAGAAGCAACAAGTGTTTCCACATTTGTTCCTCTCTGCAGAAAGTCAGAGCAGCTGTGGGGTGAGGCAGCAGAAGAAGCCTGGATTCCTTGGCAGGGAAAGGTGAAGAGGATCCATTTGCTGCAGTTGGAGGTACAAGTGTGATGGGAGGTGCCAGCACAGCACAGTACAGCCAGCTGTACCAGCGCCTGGTGTATCAAGGAACAAGAGGAAAAAAATCACCTAGAAACACGTACAGAGTTTCACTTTTCCAAGCAATGCAGGTAAAAACAAGGCTTTCAGCAAGATGAAAGATCCTGCTTGTGACCACCTGCACCTCCTCCCCACTCTGCCATCAGGGAATGCGATGGAAGGACAGCAGGTGCAGACCTGCCCTCTGCATCTTGAAAGGCAGTAAGAGCCAGCAAGAGCCAGCCTCCAGCACCTGCGGTGAGCCTGCCATGCTCAAAATGCACAAGCCCAGCTCCCTGCACCTCTAAGCTCCAGCACGCAGTACCACCCCACACTGTGCAGCGGGGCACAAACCCAGGCGTCTGGAGACAAAGCTGTTATGCAGCTCTGAGCAAGGGCAAGCAAGGTCCCTCTGGCTCCCAGCTTGGCAACCCAAACTCTCCTCTCTACCCCAGGCACTGCCCTGAGCCTCCTGCTGCTCGTCCCACCGCCATCCAGAAGGGCTGCGTTCACAATTCAGATCAAGTTTCCTCCCGGTTTTCTCATCCTACTGCAGCCTCATAAATACCATCTGGAAGGCGGGAGCAGTTATTCTGGATCAGCTGTTCACACCACCCCTCTGTGGCCTCCAGCACCTGCCCCTCGCAGGGATTCGGTGCTGCTGCAGGCACAGATGCTGCAGGATTCACTGTACTGCTGGCTGCACTACTGCTGCCCTGCTGTACCCAGGCAGGGCCATAATGGAGCACGAAGAGGATCCCGATTCAAATGAAAGCACAGGGCAGACTGTTGAGATGGAGAGATGCTGAAAAGGCCATCTCCTCGGGCAAGCCACAGGCCTCTGGGCAGGAGCAGACAGATTTGTCCTTTGTTTTGCAGCCCCAGTTTGCCAAACTGAAACAGCATCAAACCACAGCTTATCTTTCCTCTCTGTGTCCCTTGAACAAGTGCCTTTTATTCATGGCAGTCCCACACAGCAACACAGTTTCACATGAGCAAACAAAGGCCTCAGGGGTTTGCTCAGCATGCGCTGCCCCGTCCTGGCACACACCAGCACCGGCCCCAAGCCCAGATGGGATCAGCATCACCTCGGTGCTGGCAGCCAGGGATGGAGGCAGGCTAAAGGGGACTGCAGCTTCACACATTCTCCTCCCCATTTCTGAATCACAGTAGTCAGAGACCCAAGACCAGAGCCACTGGTATCAAAGTGGATTAAGTTACCAGTAGAGGAAATCCAGCAGCAACTGGTGCCTGCCACTTTTGCAAGGAAGGAATGAGCTCCAAAACAAGCCTGGAAGACAGAGGGCAGCTGGCAGTGCTGAACAGCTCAGAGGGTCAGGGAGTTCCCTAGAGGCAGGCAGCAAGTTGGTCCAGCCCTCAGCCCCCTCTGCCAAGCCCAGAGCAGCAGGAGCGCAGCCCTAAGGACAGACACTGCACAGCATCAGCTGGAAGGGCATGTGGTTCCTCCCTGGCACTTTCAAGGGGCTCTGCTCCACGTACCTCATGTCCTCCACTAGCTCCCTCCTTGCAGCACTCAGGCTCCTGAGCAACTGCTGTCACCACATCCATTCATCAGCTCCTGCTGGAGGACCGAGGCTTCTCCAACAGCTCCAGGTCACATGCATGACACCTCCCCAGGGGACAAGGGATTGTACTTCTGCCAGGCTTCTGCCTCTGCAGCAAGAGAAAAGTCAAAGGAGCAAGGCAGAAGGGCTGCTCTAGAAAAAATCCTGCTCTGGTTCCTTTTACTCTTAAAAAATGAACAACAAAATCACTTCCCGTCAATCCACCTCACAGCATATATGCACCTGGGATCAACCTGCTCCAAACACAACACCCAAGTGCTCTCCCAGGCTCTCCCAGCACAAGTGAGCACAGTGCACAAGAGACTGTCCCCTTTCACAGCAAGACTGCAGCTCCAGGATCCCTTCCTAAAAGGGAGGAAGAAGACAGGACTCTGGATCTGGCCATAGCCAAAGATGGATACCAACCTCCTGCACGCACAGCCACATCCTGAGAGCACCAAAGCAAAATTACTCAATTCCTGCACCTGGAGAAGGACCTGACCCTACATCTCCGCACCTGGATGAGGACCTGACCCTACCTTTGTGAACAAGAGGGCTCAGCTACTGCAGAGCGTCCCAAAACCACAAAAAGGTGCTGCTACTCTGTCTAAATGGCAGATTGAAGTGACAGGCCTGCTTGTAGCTTCACATGTAACAGTAACATTCCAGGCATGGCACTCAGGCATCTCGGTAAGATCTCAGCACAAGTTCTGCCGTGGCTTTTACCTGTGTTTGTTGAAAACAGAGATGAGGAAGGTGACTTGGAGGCATGGAGCAGCAGAGGAAGAGAAAGGGAAATTTGCCCTCATACCACTGGGGCCATCTGGGATCATAATAAAAACTTCAGTTTCTACTACTCTGATCTACATCCTCTGATTTCTTTACAGCTCCAGAGCTATAAATAGCCTCATTTTAGACAATTAAGAGGCTTTGAGAGGAAATGGAGTGCTGGAACAGCCAGCACAGAAAGCGGACGGACAGGGATGGAAGCCACAGCACGACGTGCTGCCAGCTCCGCAGCACTGCACGCTTTCTGGGGCAAGGTTCCAGCTGCCAGTGCTTTGGTGAGAACTGGCAACCAGTTCCAAGTCCAATGCTCCCATGTGGATACCAAGCAGGTATCCACAATGACCTGCAGCATGGTTTCCCTACCGCATCCCAGCTGGATGCCACAGCTCCCCTGCAGGGACACAGCCACCTCACCGCAGCTCTTGCACAACACCAGCTCTGCTCCAGCGTGATGAACTGGCACATCCTGAGCATCAGAGCCAATCTTAGCATCAATCTAAATCTCCTCTCTTTGTCTGAAACCGTTTCCCTTTGCCCTGTCACAGCAGTGCCTGCTAAAGAGTCTGTCCCCTTCTTTCTTACAGCCCCCTTTCGATACTGAAGGGCCACCATCAGGTCTGCCTGGAACCTTCTCCATGCTGCTTTCAGGGGCCATAGGGGAGGTGTTCCATCTCTTGGATAATTTCTGTGGCCTTTCACAAGAGGCATTCATTCTGAAAAGGTATTTAGAGAAAAACAGAACACTTCTCCAGTATGCTGCAGGAAACTCCAGAAAACGCCAATTCTCCAGACAAGGGAAGCCATCCAGAAAGCTCCAGCCAAACCAAGTGGTGGACAGAGCTGCTCACATTCAGCTACACAGAGCTCACAGTTTAACTGTGCTGCAACCCATGGGTGCTCCCAGCCTCAGCAACCTGGTGCTGACATGTGCACAGCTCCAGCAGGGACCTCGCAAAGACCCCCAGTGAGCAGAGGGCCCAGCAGGGAAAGGTCCATCTCCCTGCACTGATGGAACAGCAACCATCAAAAACCCTGACCAGAACAGGACCCTGATTCCCCTCTTCACGATGGGTGTGGAATGGGATGGAATCTCAAAGACAATCAGTGTCCTGATCCCTTCCTAGCACCTTACAGGTATGGAAGGATGCACAGGGAAGAGTTGCCACCGCCACCACTTCCAGCAGCAGCATGAGAAGGCACTGCAAGCCCCTGGCTCCCAATGCACTCAATGGCATCAACAGAGCAAGGTCCTGCCACCAGCACCTGTGGCACTGTACTGTGCTGCCTGCAGCTTCATGAAGGGTTTGGTGTGGCAGGAACCTTGCCATGAAGGGGTGGCATCTCACCTTGGCCATGAAGAGTCTGCAGGCTCAGCTGAATGCCCCAACACCTCCATGTGTGCAAGCAAGAAGGAGCCCAAGCAGACTCAGAGCTAAGCCAGAATTCATCTGGAATATACACACAGCTATCGAGGATTTATTTAAAAATAAAATCTTTGCCCCAAGCAGAGATTTTAGCAACAAGATTCCTTTCACTACCATGCATTTGTACCTTTAATGCTCCCTCCCGGTACCCTGGGGAAAGCAGGTGTGTGTTCCTGTTTAAAGGATGAGATGCTAACACATACAAAGAGACTAAGCAGCTTGGTTCAGAAGAGAACAGGCACTCAGATCTGGATGTCACAAGGCTACTGCTTCCATCACCAAGGTCCTTTTGCTGCTCCCATGTCCAGCTGTCCCCAGCAGACAGGGCTGTAGACCACCAGCCTCAGCCCTCAAGGCACCACAGCTTCCAGCACACCTCCAACACCACACAGCACTGATCTCTGCCCTCAATCCTATCCTCACTGTGACAGAAATCTCCCCCTAAGAACAGCCCACTCGTGAAGCACTCCCACCCCTGTTTTCCTAACAAGATGTGCATGCATCCCTGAGGCACGGGATACACCACAGCAGGCTTGGCTCTGTGCTGGCCTTCAGCATCTAAACATTAGGAGCTCTGAAGGTGGCCACAGGCAGGGGC